CTCATTAACTGGATATTAGAATTGTGGATTAGATTATTAAAATACTTTAACAAGATTACTTAAGTCCTGGAATGATATTGTTAAAATACTGGAATGAGAGTATTCACCTGCTCCTACCCTCTCTCACAGGTCCCACAGAGAGTGCCATGTGGGCACTGGGAGACAAGATAGCCTCTAGTATTGTGGCCCAGAGCGCTGGTGTCCCCACCCTCCCATGGAGTGGCTCAGGGCTGACCGTGTCCTGGAGTGACGAAGGTCTGTCCAGCGGGCAGTTAGTGACCGTCCCTGAAGACATCTACAAGAAGGGGTGCGTGTTCACGGAGGAGGAGGCGCTGTTCTCTGCCAAGAAGATTGGGTTCCCGGTGATGATCAAGGCGTCTGAGGGAGGGGGTGGGAAGGGGATCAGGAAAGTGGTCAGTCCAGATAATTTTGCCACATTGTTTAGACAGGTCAGTATTCTGGATTATCAGTAGGTACATTTGTATAGTGCATAATGTTCTCCTTGATAAAGTTAGGGTGGATTGTCTTTACTGCACCTAAACATTCCTACTGTACACTTGTTGTCTAATTTTAATGCGAATTGGTTTTCTAAATGCTTTTGTATGTTAAATTTGACTGATTTTTTATCTTTCAATTTAGGCTCCTCACTGCCATAGCTTGATTTAGCCACCCTGCATTAAGTGCAGTGTGCATTGTTTTTGTACCAAAATGATACCTTACATCTTTTAGCACAAAATCAATGTAAAACCAATTAATTCTCTCTCTGTGTTTCCAGGTTCAGTCAGAGGTCCCAGGCTCCCCGATATTCGTCATGAAACTGGCCACACATGCACGCCATCTGGAGGTACAAATCTTAGCTGACCAGTACGGCAATGCCATCTCCCTGTTTGGCAGAGATTGCTCCATCCAGAGGAGACACCAGAAGATCATTGAGGAGGCCCCAGCCACAATAGCGCCACCTGAAGTCTTTGAGCGCATGGAAAAGGTATCGATGATTTTGCTAGTTGTGACAACGCATTGTGTTATTCAGCAGGCTTTGTCACCAAGGCTGTCAGATTTTAATTTCTTGCATACATTTGTTTCTCTCTTTGCTGAATGTTTATGTCATTGCCATCAACATTTAGCATTATATTATTCAACTGAGACTTTAATGTTGAATTTAAACAAGTTTGACACTCCCATTGCAATAATGGTGAAAAAAAAATCATGATAAATTATAATACATTTAATGGCAACTTTTGACTTGATATGTGATGCTGTTTTTACTTTAAGTGCAATTTGGTAATTTTCCATGATGAACTGTTTTATCTTTATCATATTGTTTATTACAGTACTTTTTTACATCTAATTTATAAGAATATACTTCCTGTATCAATGATAAAGAGTCTCAGCTATATTCCACACATTTGTTTCTTCAGTGTGCTGTCACCTTAGCCAAGATGGTGGGCTACGTCAGTGCCGGCACTGTAGAATATCTGTACAATGACGAGGACCAGACGTTCAGTTTTCTGGAGTTAAACCCTCGTCTCCAGGTGGAACATCCATGCACAGAAATGGTGGCAGATGTCAACCTTCCTGCTGCACAATTGCAGGTGTGTTTTCTGGTTCAAAAGTCTTTGAAACTGATTTCTTTGCTAATAGTAGATGTGTTTTGCTTCATACACAATTTTTGAGGTAGTGTGAACTGCCACTTGTTTATATGGATTGAATGGGCTCTTATTTTTGGTTATTTGCTTATAACATTTGTTGTAATATGCTGGAATATTTGTGGTGAAAAAATTGTTTTGAGTACACAAAACATGGCATTTTACGCTGTATATAATGAAATTTTCAAAAATCTAAAAATCTAATTTTTAAATTCTGAATGCTGTGCCTTACCTCCAAAGGAAATATTTTAATTACAATTCTTCCACCAGGTGGCCATGGGCATCCCCCTGCATGTCATCAAGAACATTCGTCTGTTGTATGGCGAGGATCCATGGGCCACCACCCCCATAGACTTTGACAACCCCCGGTGCAAGCCTCAGCCCAGAGGTCATGTGATAGCCGCCAGGATCACCAGCGAGAACCCTGATGAAGTGAGAATTGTTTCCTGTTTATAATTATGGGATGGGATATGGCATGAGAAGGCTTCATATCATGTGTAATATGGGATAAAGTGAACTGTAAAGCTTTCTGTGTAATTATAATATTTTTCAAGCAGTAACTGAATTTTGCTATATCCATTCTGCTTGGTGTGGGTTTTGCAAGTTGAAATTTCCCATTAAATTTTGGATAACTTTTATATATCATTGCATTAATATCTGTGGAAATCTGACGGCCAATGTATAATTTTCCTTTCAAAAAGTGAATATGTTATGATCTGTTTTGGAAACATTATCCTGTATCTTTGCTATCTTAGGAATTCAAGCCGAGCTCTGGCACTGTTCAAGAACTGAACTTCCGTAGCAACAAGAATGTGTGGGGTTACTTCAGTGTGGCTGCCTCAGGAGGGCTGCATGAGTACGCAGACTCACAGTTTGGTCACTGTTTCTCTTGGGGAGAGGACAGGGAAGATGCCAGAGAGTAAGTTCAAACACTGTGTGAAAATGATAATTATGTAACTTCAGTTTCCCAGATTTATCTCTAAACCAGTTCTTCAAAGCATATTTCTCTCACAGTCAGATGAATGGACACATTTCCAAACTTGATTTTTCTTTAGCATTTTCTCCAGTGATGGCCCTCATATTTATCTACTGATATGATTTTATTAAGGAACATGGTGGTGGCCCTGAAGGAGCTGTCTATTCGAGGTGACTTCAGGACTACAGTGGAGTACCTGACCAAACTCCTGGAGACGGAGAACTTCCAACAGAACTGTATAGACACAGGGTGGCTGGACAAACTGATTGCTGAGAAGGTGCATGTAAGTATACCTCACTCAGGTTATTGGTAGATTTATTTATTTATTTGGAAGATTATATTGTCACTCTTTTTTCCCTTTCTTGTTTACCATAAAAAAGAAAACTAAACTATACTGTCCACCAGTTTTAAGCTTAATATTTTTGCAGCTTTTAAATGAACATTTTTGGTTTTAATGTTGATATTTTTTTAAGAGCTACTTAAACAACTACTCCCACTTGAAATTTGCATTTGATAGAATGTATGTTTATAATAGTTGAAATTATGACATTAATATCACTATTAGATGTTATGTTTTTATGTACACCTTTATTACTTTAATATAATACTGAGCCTGTAAAGTAGATTGTATTACCTCCTGCAGACAGAGACTCCAGACACCATGCTGGCAGTGGTATGTGGCGCCCTCCATGTGGCAGACCACACCATACAGACCAACTTCCAACATTTCCAGAGTGCTCTACAAAGGTAGGAAATTAAATACCAGTTGGAAGTACTGAAAAAAAAGATTTATCCCAAAAGCAACACAAAGCAACAGTACAAGTATTTTTTCTCTAGATTATTTCTTAATTCTTGTCTATTTAGATCAATGTCATTGAAATTAAGAGACATTTGTAATTGATATTTTGAATGTGCTGTACTGTATATGTTGTATGTGTAAACAATTTTCTAAGTATTTGCTTATCCGTCAGAGGTCAGATACAGGCGTCTTGCAGCTTGACCAGTTCAGTGGATGTAGAGCTGATACATGGAGGGATCAAATATGTTCTGCAGGTAAAGTGACCGAACTGAGGGACACGGGGGTATTGACAAGAATTACTCCATGAACAAACCTTGAGTGCATTTGTACCATTTTCCTCTTTTTTCTTTCGGTTTACTTCATTTAATCATTTACACTTCATGGACATTACTCTTTACGTGTTAATTATCATTCAAATATATCTTGTTTAACTGCCATATTTTCTAGGTAACCAAGACAGGACCAAGTAGCTACTTTGTAGCAATGAATGATTCTTATGTTGATGTTGAGTCACACAGGTAATGAATCCATTATAACATTGCTACAGCTCTTTAAAGGCATTGTTTAATGCTCTTTTAAGGGTATATTGAAATTTTCTCAGTGAATAAATTCTGTATCATTCTACGTGTGTTCTTTATACCCTTCTCATCTATTTCAAAGATTCATGTAACTTCAAACATGCAAAGATTAACGCACATCCAATCTTAATTATAGCTTATAGGGCTGGGCCACTAATGACTGTGCAAATTTGAAGTAAGGTTATTTATACCTGACTGTAGTGAAATAAAATACACTTTATTCACATATATGTACATACTGACAAACTAATGAATTTTAAAAAATTTGATTAATATTGGTGATCATGATATTTTATTTAATTGTTGTTGTAACTAAGTTGTACTAACCTGTTATGAAATTTAAATGTTCTCCCATTTTCAGGCTGAGTGATGGAGGCCTTCTACTGTCAATAGATGGCGCCAGTCACACAACATACATGAGGGAAGAGGTAGGCAGCTACAGAATCATCATTGGCAACAGAACCTGTGTCTTTGAAAAGGAAAATGATCCTTCAGTACTCAGGTAGGCAGGATTTCTATGACTTCATATAACTAAATCTAGTCTTTTTTGGCTCTAAAATTTAATTTTGTTTTAAAACAAAAACATTTTTGTTTTACAAAAGACAGGAAGCTTTCTAGTGTTTGTGATAGTAAGCAATACTGTCAAAAATAATGATGATTAATTTTCTCTTTCATGTATTAAGGTCAAATCATTTGAAGTCTTGTTTAGAAATATTTCTTTTTGCATGGTGTTCTGTCAGTAGCATTCTTTTGACAAGTTTCTAGTGAACTATAACTATGGTATCCATGTATGATATATTTTGTACTTCATAATAACATATTCTGTCTTTCCCAGGTCTCCATCTGCAGGCAAACTGGTCGCATACTTGGTAGAGGACGGCGGCCATACTTTTGCTGGCGATGTTTATGCTGAGATCGAAGTGATGAAGATGGTGATGGAGCTGAGGGTGACAGAGAGTGGATGGTAGGATTACATTGGTTTATTTAACATTTCTTCAGGATAAAACAGGATCTTTTGAACAGATTATTTTTAAAAGATTTGATTTCTTCAAACCATGCTGATATTATAAACAGAGCCTTTTTGGACACTATTGGACACTATTAATTTGAAGTTAAGCTGATCATTTGAAGTTTAAGATAAGCATATGTTAGTTATCAAAGATTTTAGATTTATTATGTTGCATACAAGTTTTATGGTCAAGATCACAGAGATAATAAAATACGCAAATGATGATGATTAAACACTTTATTGTGACTGACCTTGTAGTGACTATTTATTCCAGTGTTCACTATGTCAAGAGACCAGGAGCTGTACTTGATGCTGGAAGTATAGTGTGTAAACTACAGCTAGATGATCCCAGCAGGGTACAACAGGTGGGTGGGTGGGGTAGGGGCAATTTTTCATTGTAAAATCCATGCACTGCTCAAGTTTGTTTTTAAATTAGTTGTTATGAAATTAAAATCTGCTGTGTTTGTGACCTAAAAATTTTCAGCCAAATGACCTCACAGTAAGCAAAAATTAATTGAAATCTGAATTTTCTAATTGACTTCACTAATTCATAATTTTATACAGTATAATATTATTATTATTCTCATTTTACAATCTATGTATTGTACAACAGATATGCAGTTAGGTAAAGTCAGCTAACTACTCTCAATCTCTCTAGTGCCATGGTTGATATGACCCTTGGTGACTTATGATGCTAGTTTCAGCATCCAATTAATTGCTGAGTCCCATATTATTATTTGTACATTGGACTAAAAAAGAAATTCGAAGATGAATAATCTTTCAGTTAGTACCAGGATATCACACAACCTGTTTATGTCCTCTCCAGGCTCAGTTATTCCACGGCAAACTGCCAGCTGTCACACACAACACTGTGACTTCCATGCACGGTGACAAACTCCACCAAGTGTTCCAGAGTGCCAGAGCCTCGCTGGAGAATATCCTGGCAGGATACGCCATACCTGATGACAAGGTGTTCAAGAAACGACTGGGAGACGTGCTGAATACTCTACTTACCTGTATAAGGGATCCCAGTATGCCACTGTTAGAACTACAGGTAAGAGTTATTACTTACCTGTATAAGGGACACCAGTATGCCACTGTTAGAACTACAGGTAAGAGTTATTACTTACCTGTATCAGGGACCCCAGTATGCCACTGTTAGAACTACAGGTAAGAGTTATTACTTACCTTATTATTTAAAGAAGTGCAATATGGGCTAAGCTCAGTGTATGAGTATAAACTTAAAAGGCATCGCCTTTTTACTATTACCAGGTATATTTTTACTATTTATAAATGTCAAAACTAACTCCCAAGAATTATAAAAGTGTGTTTGTATCTTTTCTGAAAATACTACTATCATCATAATCACCTGTAAGTGACACATTCATTCATACTCTCTCCCCCAGGAATTGATCTCCATGATATCTGGGCGACTGCCGCCACAGGTAGAGAGGACCATTCGTAAACACATGCAAGTCTACGCCAGCAACATCACCTCCATCCTCTGCCAGTTTCCAAGTCAACAAGTGAGCTCTTTTACTTATCTTTTTTTTACTTATTTTGGTAAATAAGGATATTCACTCACTGATTGTATATAAGTATATTGAATTTTTCACTTGTGGGCAATTATTCCTGATCAGCAACTGTTTGGAGCAGTTACAGATGCTCCAACTTTGTGTTTAAGCTGAAATATTACCAAGTACTTTTATTGTATTCGTCCAGTTGTCATCTTGATAGTTTAATCAATGCATTTTCAAGCAGTTACACTCCCCTTTTAATTTTTAAATTGACAGTGCAATCAAATCTGGAAGTTAAAAATATCATGTTTTTCATTTTGGATAACCACTAACATGCTTAATTTTCTGTGATATTGAATTTTTGGTATTTAAACTTGGTATTTATGTGCTCCAGATCGCCACTGTGATAGACAGTTATGCTGCCACATTAACCAAGAGATCAGACAGAGACGTCTTCTTTATGACAACTCAGGGCATTGTACAACTGGTACAGAGGTAAGAATAACAGTCACATTTATTATATTGACTCAAAATATTTAAAAATAAAAGTCAAATTGGATGACACAAATCTCTTTCAGAATTAAAGTGAAACAGACTTCAGGTAATATTATTATAGACTTCATATTTTCATTAAAGTAAGTGTCCTGCTTGGATTATAATATTGTTGAAAGCTTGTGTGTATATGTGGTTTATACCCCATTTCCAGAGATTACATCGATCTACTTTAGATCGACCTAACTCCCTGGGCTTCACGCTAAATAGCTGTCAGCCGAGCGGACACGAAAGTTAATAACCCTTTTACAGCTTGTAGTAGGCGGGACGGACATTTAAGCCGGATTATCTGACAGTAATCTAGTGAGACTCCCCGCGGGGATAGATCGATCTAAAAGCTCTGGGAATACAGCCTCAGACACTAGATAATCTTATCTGTTGTTTTGAGGGAGATACTTTCATTGTCTATATTTTACATTTTTTCATTGAGAAACATTTTCAAATTCAAAATAATGAATTGTTGCTTTATAGGCACACTTATCTTTAAGATCTGGACAGGCTTAGTTTACAAGCCGTTTGATATTCCAGGTACCGCAGCGGGGTGAGAGGCCACATGAGAATGGTGGTGCAGGATTTATTAAAACAGTACCTAAAGGTGGAGTCGCAGTTTCAACATGGTGAGGATTGTTGTCACTGTCTCTGTAGTCTAGTTCATACTTTTGTGTTAGTGGATGTACACTAGTCCATTTTTCTTTAAATAATACTCCTGTGTAATAAGTTGAAGTCTAAAATTTCCACTTAGTAGATGATTATAGCTATTGAAGAAATTGATAATTATGTTACTGTGTTTGCCAGCACAGCTACTTCAAATATAAAAGACAAACAGTTTGTCATTATGGAATGTCCAAAATCTAACAACACAGCTTAATTTGCAATAAGAAGTTTAATTGTTTCATGGTCTGTAAATCTTGGTTTTATTATATACAGAAAATTTTTTTAAAATATTTTTAAGAAATTGGGAATTATTTTTGCCTCCAAGATTTTAATTTTTTATTTGTTTTTTATCTATTATATTTTTGTTTATTTATCATTATAAATTAATTTTTCTGATAAAAGAAATATTTTCCCATTTTTCAAGGTCACTATGACAAGTGTGTAGCTCAGCTGAGGGAGAAACACAAAGATGACATGGCAACTGTCATGGCCACCATTTTCTCACATTCCCAAGTTCAGAAGAAGAATCTTCTAGTCATCATGCTCATTGTGAGTTCATCGCAGTGTGTGTGTGTGTGTGTGTGTGTGTGTGTGGGGGGGGGGGGGGGGGGTTTTGGGGTTTTGAACATTACCATGAAAA